TACAAACTCCCTGTGGGCTACACATAGCGACTACAGTTTTTGGGCCCACCCTATACGGAAAAGGCGCCGTAGAGAAAATAGATGCCACTATTTGTTATGGGATGACCTCTATACACGGAAGCGCGAAACAAGAAAGGCTAAGAAAGATGCCCAGACTTGACAGGCGAAGAATTCCGCCTAAGAATTTCCAGAAAAATAAAGCTGTAAAATATCCAAGACATTCGAAAAGCAATTCGTCTTGCGGTGTGTTCATCAATGAGACATTTTTCTCAAGAGATAACGTCTCTCAATTTGATGCAACAAACAGCAACAGTGAGGATACTGACCGCATTGAAGCTGTTTCACAGTACGGACCATGTCCAAACAATTGCGCCACACCTTGCGAATCCTCTGAAAAATCCCTAGTACACCAGGGAGCAAAAAATGTGAGTAGGTCACAATCGCAGGAATGCTTTTGCGACAAGAATGTCCAGATCAAAAAAGGGAACGAGTTTGACCATCCTGATCACTACTCAGATCGTTCTCGATTCAAAAACAGTCGATTAAAACGTATTGTTCCTCGAACGAAATCGCTAGCAGTCTTGACCGAACAATACCTTATTCCGAAAAGAAGCTGGTCATACCTAAAAGCAACCACCGTAGTAATCTCAAAGGATGGACTTACGCGATCAGAGAAAGTGGTTATACCAAACCATGAAACAATTCATCGATCATTGAACGAACTATTTCCCTTGGATAGCCAAACGAGTGCTACGAGCCGACCGCATATAGTCAAGCAATCCAGCCGCGTGAAAACAAAACTATAGTCATGTAAAAAGTCTCCCAAGTTATCTAAAATTCACGTCGGCACAATCACCACTCATCTCTCCTCTTCTTCGCCGTCATCGTCATCCTGTCTCCAACCGTCTCCCTTCAAGCTGTCTACACGCACCAACAAGCTGCACAATTCACCTTTTGTCTACATTTGTCAACGAGCCGCACATCTACGCCAAGCCCTTCACATGCCACGACAAGCCGTTTCTCCGATTACAAGCTGCCGACAAACCGCTCAGATTTGGAAGATTTGTTGTGCATGATTTTTTTATTGCCCCGCGGGAGTGTCCCGTAGTGAGTAAGGCGATATTCGATAAGGTTTATATTGACTTGACCGGACCGCTCCATGTGTCCGAAGCGGGTAATAGATATACATACACTAACGATGATAGACCATTCCTCCAAATATAATATCGCTACGCCGCTGCCCAGATTGCACGGCGGTTACGGTAGCGCAGGCTATTGTTTCGAGTGTATATTAAAGTTCGGCGTTATGACTCAACTCATGTCGGACAATGCCTCTTACTTCAAAGGCGAAGTAATGTCTGAATTGAGACGGTTTCTCCGCATTCATAGGTATTACTGTACCCCCTACCATCACGAAGGTAACGGTGAGTGCGAACGAATTTTCGCCGTTTTTCATCCAATGCTTCGTACATACATATATTAACGAGAATCAACTTGATTGGGACAAGTATGTATGTGCTTGCGCATTTATGTACAATACTTGTGTTCATTCGAGCATCAATAACACTCCCTTCTTCCTCATTTATGGCCGCGACCCGGTATTTGATATCGGCCTGCTCATCCAACACGATTTGGAAAACCACGTCCCAGCGGATGATTCGGGATTCTACGTTCAAAACCTGGTCACTACCCTTCATGCAGCGTGGCGTTCAGCAATGTCTTCAACGTCAAAGAATGAAGTTCAAAGCGCAACACGATCGCACCCATCTTTCTCCCCTATCCATTAAGGAAGGCGATCGCGTATACCTTCGAGACCTAGCCCCCAAGGAAGGATTGTCCCAAAAGCTTTGTTATCCATGGCAGGGTCAGTTTCGTGTAATTATGTCATAGTCCCCTCATCTAGTCATAGTCAGCTTATCCTCTCCGCAGTCATCACCTAAGAAAGTTCATATGAATCAGGTTAAACCATGTCATCTCCTGTCAGGACCTGCCTTTACTACCCCATGGCTGCCGGAAACAGAACAACTCGCTCTCACTGCAGCAGAAGCAGTCGACAGTCCCGTGGAAGTACGGGCATACCATGGACCAGTCTCCGTCTCCCACACTTTCGGTACCCTCGCATTCGTATAATACACGCTTCAGATTGAGACGAACATCGCTTTGACCGGAACGGTCGGTAACCAATTTGAATTCCTCTCACTCACATCGTTGAGTTTACGGTCTTTCATGAGTTTCTTTCTCATGCCAGGCTTCTTTGTTTTCTTTCGGCGCTCTGGCATTCGCACATGTTTGAATGTCATTGCCTTTATCTGTTAGTCTCCTCGAATGACACGCCCACTCCACTCATTTAAACAGCCTATCCTCATCAACCGCTCATTAGCCGTCCTTCTCCACTTTCTTTCTCCTTCTCTAGCTTTTACATAAATGCTTCTAATCTTCTTCAGTGTCATATCTTACAGTATAATGCATACATATACATATATTTCGCGTCGTATCTTACTCCCTTTTACATAACCGATAAGTGATCTTTTCTATTAACAATCGACTTTTACTTTCTTTGTGTAATGCTGTTTCAAGGCACAGATCACGATAAATTTGAGGTACCCGTTTTTATTCGAAAAGCGAAGGTATAGATTGGGAATAGTTCATCGGTAGTGAAGAGAGCGAGAGAATTCGCAGATTTCGCGAAAAATATGGCTCCTCAAAAGTAGGGAAAATAGAGGGTGGACGAGATAGCCATGACGGAAATAACGTGGGAGTGATATTCGGACGAGATTTCAGCTATTGCAATGGCACAAAGAGCTGACTACATCAAGCCAGAACTACACAGAACTGCTTTTCGCTGTCGCTATGAGTCATGACAAGTTGTTTGAATTTCCTACATGGTTTCCCTTGTGATCGGTGCAGCCTCTACAAGGCCGGTGAAACTCGTCCGAGGGTACAAACGGGCCAATTTCTGAGCCTTTATAACTCCAAAACTAGGCCGTTTTCCGACCTAATAGTGCCAGATATAATATACTCGGATGTCTTAAACGCAGGGTGTCCCAAAATTATTTGCGCCAAAGTTCAGTAATTTTTAAGGTAGAAACAATCTATCAAATTCACATTACCTGTTATTAATTAGTTGCATAAGAAGGTTTCCTTGCAATATGCATGGTTGCTGATGTGGAACTCCCATTATATTTCAGATGGAGGAGGCTCATTCAATGCCACTTGCAATCGTTGACGCGCGAGAAGTGGAAGGGCGTTATGAAATTCTTTGGGATTTTTCTAATAACCGTATAGGAGGCTATTAAATGATATAGAAAAGAAGAATGAATCAGAGACAAACCAGGAAAGATAGAAAGGTAGAATGTTTCTGAAGATAGGACTATTAAAATGGTCCGTATGCCAATCGGTCGGGATCCTGGGTGACCCATCAAAAGGAAGTCAACGGCCACGACTTGTCCGAGTTATCGCAATGGAAGAATGTCATGCAGGAGCTTCACTGCCGTTCCTATCGTATGCAGAAATTTCGCTTGAATTCCGATCTCAACAGATACTGCAGGGCCAAAAATGCAGAAAGTCGAAAGTGGTGACACGCAACCCTTCGTCGTTTTCTTTGCTGGTCAAGAAATTTTTACAATAAAGCCATTCCTCAACAGCCAAAACGTTCGCGTTCCGGAAAGAAACATCCAGCGTGTAATATCTCACAAAAAGGTTGTTATCAGAACAGTAAAATGATGTTTTTCGAGGAAATCACTGGCAAGGGTAAGCCGCTCGTGGTTTCTTCGGTGCAGGCGTGAAAATTGACCAAGACCAGTACTTAAACGGCGTACTAATGGAAGTAAATAAAACATTGATCCGACTACATTTTCCGAAACATCTCATAGTCCTTCCAGCAGGACGCTACTCCAGCCCACAGAGCCAAGCATGCCCGCGAGTGGTGCCGACGACAGCTGCCCGACTTCATTGGTGAAGAGGAATGGTCATCCTATTTTCCAGAACTTAACTCACTTGAATCCCACGAATGGTCCCTGATTAGAAGAGGACCTGTCGAGTCTGCAGTCCCAGTTTGGAGTCCTAGAATGCAAAAGCCGGAGGACGGCTGGGAAGAAATGAAGAAGGATACCTGCGTGCCACATGCGATCAAGTCGAAAGCAAACTTTGACTTCTATTCGCTCTCACGGGGGATATTTTGAAATGCGACTTTAGCATGTTGTAGCACATAGTGTTAGCTAGCGTGCATAGAAATTCCATCGTATTTCGCAGTTGAGAAGTTCCAAATTTATTGCTATAAATCGGCGCAGATAATTTTGGGACACCCTGTACATCCTGCGGTGAAATCTCAGAAACCATTTTAATCGTGAACTGTGCCTTCAGGGTACATATTATGGGTAATTACAAAGACCCGACTTCTGCTCGCTGTACGTCCTTCTCACGTCTCTTTTATTTGTGGTGTACTATATTCACTTCGTTGTAAGGCAAACGTTTTTTTAAATGGTGAGCCGCGTAGCGGACGATACCAGAAGTATGTCGTCAAGTCGCACGTCGACCGACGAAGTGGAGAATGGCTGCGTAGCGGCCGAATCAACAAATATCCTCTCCAAGGTTTCGACCGACGAGGTTTCCGCCATGGATAACCGAACCGGTGACCGAGGCACAAGGTTCAAGTTCCCAGAACAGGGATACGGTATCCTCTCAGAACCCTGAGCCCCCGGTCTTACAGGTTCGATGGGGAGCTCCCGTGACACTAGAGTCGCGCTCGCGCCGCTCACCTACTCCGAGCAGCCAGTCTAGCTCCTCCACAGTAGAGCCTGCCCAGGAGGCTAAGCCCCTGCAGCCTCGTAAGTCTTCGCTCGCGAACATGACTGCCTCCCTGGAACAGCTGGCAGCAGCTCACCTTTCTCCCCCACACTCCATGGAGGTAGAAGAGGAAGAAGACCGTTCACCAACCCCACCACCTAAGCTACGTCGCAGCGGATCTAGCCGACGCCAGCCGGTTCGAGCGGATGCGCCGTCCTCCTCGCGTGGATCTGCGCGCGGAGCTCCATCCTCGCGACCCCCCGCATCAGGCTCGTCGAGAGCTCGACCCGCTACCTCGCGGCCACCTACGCGTGGAACCGCCACAAGAGCAGAGCATCTCCAGCAGTATTGCCTGCAGCACCTCCCGCGGCGCCAGTAGTTCTTGCCGAACCCCTCTCTCGAGTGAGTACCTCGCAGTTACCTCGGGAGACCCCACAAGACTTCACTCACCCTTGGATTAACGACCATCCGTGGGCGCTGTTCGTAAATTCTCGCCCGCTTCACCACCCTCACCTGAATCCACCCACGGTCACCACGGATCTCGACGCGACCTTGTACCGCCACCTACCTGATTCGGGATATCTCTCGAAGTGCTTCAATAAGTCGCTATTACCGCAGGTAGTGTTCGAGGAACACAAGTTACCAACATCAATACCCTTTATTGAGTTGCAACACTTAGACGACACTATCCGCTTCCGCGAGCAGTCCCAGCAGGTTATTGACCAGATGTTGGCGGGCACCTATCAGGAGGTCCACGTCGCTCTCATGCACGCAGATCTCAACCGACCCCACCAGTACATCACTAAGCCGCGTACCTTCGATTCCATCCACCCTGTTTTATATCAGGTGCTTTCTACAGTTTACGGGTCAGGCCTTGTACTGGAGGCAAAGGACTTCTTCATCATGGGCTCGGATAGACGCGACCTCCACTGTATTCTACTTCATAGGTTCGGCATTGACATCGAAGCACGCTGTCGTGGTTTCAATAGGTCTCTGCTTTGAGTTAAGGATTTTGTCAGGGTATATGGTGTCAAACCGACACCCCAGGCATTCGAATCTCCAAGGGACACTCTCAAGAAGGCTTCCATCCCTCGGACCACAGCCCTCAAAACAACGGCCTCCTTTTTCAGAGCGGCCCACTATGCGTTCGTGACCATCACTAACAGCCCAGACCCGGTCTACGGCATAATCCTTTCCCTCGCGACCCGGAACAATCGCGTTCAACACGTTCGGGCAGTGTTTGAAGGTTCACCGGATGCAGTCACGGTTACTCCTGCGCTTTGCAATTTTAACCTCAAACGTCTGCACCGGTATGTCGTCGTG